ATCCATATTGTCGATATTATATTATATTATATTATATTATATTATATTATATTATATTATATTATATTATATTATATTATATTATATTATATTATATTTAGCAGACGCTTTTATCCAAAGCGACTTACAAATGAGGACAATATTATATTATATTATATTATATCTAAGATGGAATAGGCATCTGTTTTGAGTGTTTCCCAGCTTGTATATCTAATAATAACATAACATAACATAACATAACATAACATATAACATAATTTTGGAAACATCTGAGTAGAGAAAGGACATGTTCGAAGTACAGAAAACCCAGGAAAAATCCATTAACCCAATTAAAAATTTACTGAAATAATTTTAATGAACCTCTATAGTCACTTAATTATAATATTTAGAAGAAAACAAATGTGTGTGATTTCCATATTTTTAAATTGTGAGTTTAATATTTCACCCAATATATTAAAACATTTTATGAAGATGTACTGCATAATAGGAAAAAGCTTTAATGATGTGTATTGTACTGGGTTGTCAGGTCTCTGGCGCACCGACAAGAGCAACTTTGGATCCAGTCAGTGCACAGAGGAAGAGGAGGTACCAATGCCAGTGCAGGAGATGTGTGGAAAGACTGAAAAACTGGAGGATGTCTGAGAAAAGAGCGGGAAGAAGACCACTGATGCGTCTATGGATTGAGTATTTACTCTGATACAAATCTGCTGCTGCCATTTACGCAAGAGAAAATCTGCACTCAGGTGGCCCATCTGAAGGTTCTGTGAGAATGACTGTCCTTCCTGAGAAATGCTGATAGAGAGAGATTTGTATTGCCACTGCACATAAGCACACACTCAACATACAACATAGAGCTAATCTTTTTCAACAAATGAAGGTTTTATTCTCTGCACGCTTGTTTGTATTTATAATTGGGTAGTTTTTGCACAGCATGCCCATGGACTTCTTTTAGGTGTATATATATATGTATGGATGTATAAGGTAAAGTGCAAGTTTTTCACTTATTTTGAAGTTATGAAGTTATTTTTTATGAAGTTTTTCATTTATTTTAACACGTCTCAAAATAACATGAAGTAATTGATCTTGAGTTATTGCATCTATAAAAATGATAATAGAATGAACAAAATATTGTTTCAAATATTTTAAAAAGAAGTTTTTGATGGGAATATAGCATGTCATTTCCTAGAAGTATTTTATGTCAGCTACCCAGTTGTATGAAATAGAAAACACAATTGTATTTGTATTTGCTATCTTGCAGTGAATTTAATGAAGTACTCTGAGAAACATACCAAAAAATAAACCTTTATTGATTTTATTGCACTTTACGATTAATATCAAGTTTAAAAATGTGTATTACAGTGAATATAAAACATAATATATGATGACACAACAGCTACTGCGTGTTCCTGTGCTGTGCTTACTGACTTCTAAATGAAGAAACAATGTTAACCTTTCCAGACCACCATCAAAATGTCAGGGCTTTTTTGATGGCACAATCCATCATGTCTGTCGCATAAAAACCAAAGAAAAGAGGAAGAACACTGACAACATTAACCAGGGACTTAACGTGATCGAACACTGATAAACTGCGTGAGAACAAAAAAATGTTTTTGTGTTTTTAACATTTGTAATAGAATTAATAACGAGTATAAATAAATATAAATGTTTTATATTGAAAATGCCCCATAAGTCGATATAGATAGACAGATAGAGGACATTATGGGACACATTGCAATGACTTCAATAAAGTTTCATAAAATAAATATCGCAACATATGTGAATCTTTGGTCTCCTGAGTGTTTTAGAGCTGCTCTTTGCTTTCAAACACTTCCTGAGAGTCATTCAGCCATCGTAAGACGTGAAAGCCTTTGGTATCGACTCTTCCTACAGTCAACAATCAGCATCCCACTGCCTGATGTTCTGATGGCTTAGAATCAGTGGTTACGCATAAACAGTACGTTTATGGGTGATATTGCCAAGCTGGCATGAACTGTCAAGCTCATACGCAACAATTATGTCGTCCATACTGTTAGTCACACACCCAGGCCTTCCCCTAACGCAGCCTGTTGCTCTCTCGATGAAATCCCCTGCCAGGGTTAGAGTTTTACTACTGGGTACTCACGAAGCATCAGTTAAAACAAACCACACAGCAGTCGAGCAGTACGGAAGAAGACGGACACAAATAATCCGTTATCCCTCACAGCACCTCTTCTTTAGATATGTGGCACTCTTTCCCTTGCTCCTGAGATGGGAAGAAGATTAAATCGTTTTCTCCGCTCCTTTCCTCCTCAGACAGATGGACGGGGGGAGACTGAGGGTAGGGCACGTTGATGTTGTTGAGCGATTCTTTTTGGAGTTCGTGTGCTTTTTTCTCGCCGCCATCCCATCCGAATTGATTGAGCAAACTAACAAAAACTGTCTGGGGACTGTAGATGTGAAGAGGGCCTACGAGAAAGAGAGAATGTTGAATTTTCATACTATTTGCATGTTTGTTTGTTTGTTTTTTCCCCCCATTGCTTGTTTATGGGGTACGTATCGAATCCTGTTTTTGTCACTGAATAAAAAATAAAATAAAAAATAAAACAAGGTAAATGTGACTTTTTATCTTATAATTCTGACATTTTTCGGAGGAGATAAACTCGCAATTCAGACTTTTTTTCTCGCAATTGTACGTTTATATACCACAATTCTGACTTTTTTCTCACAATTCTGAAAACTTTTCTTGGAATTGAGAGTTTAAATCTCACGATTATGACTTTTTTTCTCACACTTTTTTCAGAACTGTGAGTTTATATCACGCAAGTGATAAAAAAAAGTGATGAGATGTAAACTCGCAACTGAGAAAAAAACTCAGAATTTTAAGATAAAAAGTCACAATTACCTTGTTTTATTTTTTTATTCAGTTGTGGAAACAGGCTTCCATGGGGGTAAAATATATACGCACGCACACGCATTATAATAATATTTTTAAATTTGTATTTCAATTGTTATATGTCTGGTTATTTAATTCTTATATACTATTTAATTTATTATTATATCATGAATAATTCATACAAATGTCATTTGGTGTAACTGCATAACCATCAAGTGAAAAGTCTGTTATAGATTTAATTTTATACATAGCCTACATGAATATACATACAAACAATTTATGTGATATTTTAAGCAGCTTATTGACCTTGTCACACAGTCATGAGGGTCTGCAGTGGTCCTCTTTATAATATAATTTTCTGTTTTGTTTTTTACTGCATGTTTATGTATATTGGTTTGGCCACTTTACATGATTTCACAGTCAAATCAAATATTCATAAAAGAAGAAAATTACAAAAAGCAACTCTTTATAGTACCTAAATTGCCAGCTGGAGGCACAGCCTGCTCTGAGCTGATTGGCTGATGAAACGAGCAGTCTGTGTTGTGATTGGTGGGTGTGCTGCCATGTGACAGCATCTCCTGGGCATGGGGCTGCTCATCTGGTTGGCTAGTAGGAGGTGCAGTCTCACTGTCCACCTGAAGAAATTGAAGGACTGTGAGTCAGATAATTCATGACATGTTCACATAGTGCCAAAATGTGCACATTACTTACCTCCATATTACCCAACGAGCACTGCCTGACAACTAATGAAGAAAAGAGATAGTGAGAGGTATGATTAACTCACAAAACATCTGAGAAAAAAAATGTGTTTGTGTTCACGTGTGTGTTACTCACAATGTTTAAAACATTCCTTCTCTTTCTTCCTGCAGAGCCGGAGGAACAGCATAAGGATGATAATGGATAACATTAGAGAACTTAATCCACATAAAATCCACACCACACTACTGTCACCTGTAAAATAAATACAAGGATGTAAGTTAGCTTTTATGTTGAGATGAATAGCTGAACAGGTTAAATGGAAAAGATCTTATAAGGGAAAGATCTCTTCAAGAAACAGTTCTCTAAAAAGGCTGTATCAGGTAATAGCAAGAGTAATCTAAGAACTAAAACAGGCAAAAATGGAATGTCTGCAATTAAATATCTAATGAATATCAAGAATGAAGTGACTTGTTCTGACTTTCTGTAGTGCTGCACGAATGATCCTTGTAACCCGGAAATAAGTTTGAATGTGTTGTTGATTCCTGAAATAATGTTTGTGGTTAACACAAGCTCAAAATACTTCTGCCAATGTTAGATACATTAGTAATGCAAGACTTTTTTAAAGATAAACAATTTCTAACCTTTATATAATGTGTTTTTTTCTGGATTTTTCGGTTGGTATTCTGTCTCTATCCGTTAAAATAAACCTACCATAAAAATTACAGACCCTTCATTTCTTTGTAAGTGGGCAAATGTAGAAAATCAGCAGGGGATCAAATAAATATTTTCCCCACTGTACCATGGGTAGCAACAATTCTGATCACATGTGTCAGTGTTGAAAAACAGTTGTGCTGCCATTTTTGTGGATGCTGTTATACTTTTTTCAGAATACTTTGTTGAATAGAAATTTCTAAAGAACAGCATTTATTTGAAATTGAGGTCTTTTGTAACATTATAAATGCCTTGGCGCTCTCTTTTGATCAATATACTGTGACTTTGCTGATTAAAAGTATTCATTACTGACCTTAAATTGTTGACCAAAGCATCTCTGAGATGAAATGTGATGAAAACAAAGAAAAGTCAAGGTAAATGTGAATATTACACATTTTTCGATTGTGGGTCATTTACAATCAAACAGTAATTCTGACAATTCTTACAGAATTTCATATGAAATTTTATTCATTTTATTCAACTTAATTCAATTTAATCAGTCAGTCAATCAATCAATCACTGTTATTTTCGCCACATCTCAAATCAGCATTCATTTTATTGTGGTAATAATGGTAGAAATTATATTTTTTAATGAAAGTTCTGGAGGGAAAATAAAATTAAATGAACTATTGTTTGATAAGTGTGAGTTCTCACAGTTGAAGAAACTGATATACACTTACAGTTCTACATAAGCCCTTTCACTGTTTTAATTTTGCAGATATGAAGTATGAGAAGAACTGTACGGCGACAAGTGATGCAGTGTGCACGTGTGTTGAGGGCTACAGATGCAGAGACAGTAAATGCCAGGAGTGTGAGAAGATTCAGACAGCTACTGTTTCTTTTCCTGCTTCTACTAAAACAATACCGCCCACCCATGGTGAGTGCCCTGACCCACTGTTGTCAATCTATTAAAGTAGCTGCTGTTAAAGGCAAAGAGTCTATCTCACACACAGAGTATATCAGGTGTATTCTCTATTGACCTGTTTACTCTTTCTCTCTCCTTTTCTCCATCCATTTGCTCCCATTCTATCAACCTCTTCCAGATATAATGTGGATCTCGGTGAGTCTGTGTTGTGCGTGTGTGTGTGTGTGTGTTCTGCTCACCTGTTTCCTTCTCATCAGCAGACATGCACGACAATATGGATGGATCATGCCAACATCACCTGGTCAGTGCTACTATAAACAACACATCAGTGCTTTAATTCACAAAGAAAACCTGCTCTTTATACGCTTGCATGAGTACTTAATATACTGACACTCCATTGCATGAATAATATTATATTATATTATATTATATTATATTTATGATCAGCTGACCATCTGGGGATTTTAATGCCTGAGGACATATTTATTTATTAATAATAACAGCTTATTTTCTACAAAAATCCAAAAGCTAATAGGAAATCCTATTGGGTTCCAGGTTGACAAAAGTCAGGATTTAAGGATTCAACCCCACCTCCTTCTCGCCCTGGTGGCAGGCCACTTACTCTACTTTAAAGGGGTTCTATTATGCCCTTTTATAAAGCATTGATTTGGTTTTTGGGGGTTTACTAGAAAATGTTTTCATGCTTGATTGTTCCAAAAATGCATTATTTTTCACATATTTTACATTATTGCAGCATCTCTCCTCCCAATCTGTCTCGAACGCACTATTTAGTTCCTGTTTCGATGAAGCCCCTCCTTCCAAAATATGAAATGTGCTCTGATTGGTCAGCTGACCCGGTGCGTCGTGACTGGCGAACCGCTTAGAGCATGTTCTGGAAATGTCACGCCCCTTACAATAACCGCAACAACGTGCTACTAAAGCAGCTCTTCATCTTCGTCTTCTCTAGTGTAGCTCACCCAGGCCTCTTCCCACTTTTGTGTATCCCGTGGGCGGGAATTATTTAAATGAGTGACTGTGATGTCACAATATCCGGAAGAAGCGTGCTATAGTCCGAACGAGCCATTTGTTGTAGTTCTTGAAAAGTGTTTTCTGTTAAATGGAATAACTTCCTTTGGAGTTGACTTTAAGCTTTGCAACTTTTCAAATCTTAACAGCAACATTACAGCAGTGTCCAACTGTTCAACAGTGTTTGGCAGAAGAATAGCAAATATGCAAGTTTAACGTCTTAAAAAACTCTTTGTATGCAAAATAGCGGGAGAAAAAAGTGTTTCGCAGATATTTAAATGTATCATCAGGAAAACATAGAAATAGTTGTTGTTTTTATCCTATTGTGTGTTATATTTATTTGCTTGGTAAATGTCTTTTTGGGTTTTGGTTCTTTTGCTGTTGTAGGTACCCTGTAGAATAAATAGCCTAGTAATTATTTCTCCTTATTGTAATTGGGTCCTCTTGGATATGTGAGCATAGGCACAGAACGCCTATGCATAAATCCGGCCCTGGCCATGGGACCTGATGCTTTGGAAGCCCCTGTCAAAACATTGGCCCAGTCCATAATCCAACCTTGCTTTAAGCATACTACCCCTAGAATACAAGTGTACACACATCATGCAGAAGAAAACAACAGTGCTTACCCAGTTTAATTTTAGTAGATGAAGTGGTGGATGTAGTGGATGATGGGACATCAGCAGAGGTGGAGGATGGGATTGTGGTGGAGACAGGAACGCAGCTGTCACATAGGCGTGTGTGTGGATCGGTCAAACAAACGTAACCCTCTCGACAGCGACACACTAAATTTGATGTGCTTGTGCAATTCTTCTCCACCTCCATGTTGAATTCTAGCACACACACACACACACACACACACACACACACACATTTGTTTTCAAAATGAAGCATGGTTTGCCATACTTCCTGTTTCTATTCTCACTTCATCTTGTTTATACTATCATGGATTAATTAGGTGTAATGCGCTTCATACCAGGTATGCAGTTCTGGAAGCAGCGGTGGCAACTTTCCTCTCTGTTTTTCTCACTGGTGTAGAAACCGGACTTGCATTGAGCACACGTATCGCCGTACTTGTAATATCCTAAGAGATGATGAACAGTAAGGAAGATGGAGTGGAAAAATAGGAAGTGGAAATGCAGAGGACAAAAAAAGACAGAAGGACATTAAGGTCAAATTAATTCAAAGTTAAGATGTTAGTGCCTTTAAGCCTATATAAATTGAGTTTGTCAGTCTGTCTAAGATAGACAGGGGCCATTCACTTGTTGGTCTTAGTATGCAGGCGTCAGATGGATGTCTTTAGCTGTTACATCTCTCACTTGTGTGAGTGCGAATTTATGACGCCGTGTCAAATTCAGAAGGATCAATTCATAAGATCGCTGTTTCTTTCATAATACATGAGTGTTTTGGGTATCATGAAGCTGCTGTACTGTGAACTGTATTTCTGCTCTTGAGACTTTGGCAGCCCATAGAACCATTAACTGGAAAGTTATGAAAGCTAGCACATTGATAGAAAAGAGTCTGAACATTAATCATAGCAAATTTGGAGTCTTTAACTCAATACTTCTAGCGCCACCAACTGTCCAAAGTTGCACACATATTTTTCCATCATTAACAAAAAATTATGCAAAGTTAATAAGTCAAACCATTCTCAAATAATGAGCAAATGAATTTGACAAAAATTCTACATTTTACATTTACAACACAGGCAAAATGCCTATATGCTTGAAGGCACTCAAAACGTTTCCAGGCAGTGGTGGTCACAAATTATAATGAAATTTCAAAAAAATGCTAATGCCTTTAATTATTTTGCCTATTGTCAAAACTTTTTTTGAATAGATTCCTTGGGCCATGCCGAGAACATTGATACCAGTTATAACTTTTTTGTCCGCCATTTTGATTTTATTTGAAAACCTACTTTTGAAACTTTTCCTAAACTGAAAAGTCTCCCGTTTGATGTGGTCATAAAGACCACATGGTTCCTCGCCTTAATAAATGCATTTCTTGGCAAGAAAAAAGGGACAAAAACTGCAGTTTTGAGTGGGGTGGCCAAGCTTAGCCAGCCCCTGGCTCCGCCCCTGATTACAAGTGATTCTATTTATGGATTTTCAACCATTTTGATTTTGAAAATGGGAAGGAGATTTTAAAATAATCTCCAAATGTCTTTATTTACTCACTTTTGCAGTTGGTTGATTGCTGCTTTGAAAATTGACCTCTGTTGTGCATGGACCCTTAATTGATGCTTGCAGCTGTTTTATTATCATAATCATAAGCACACAAACTTGTAGCGCAAATAGTTTTACAGTTTAATGCACTTCATTATTCTTATTTACCTGTGGTGGCTAATGAATCGGTCTTGTACATTCACAGGAAATACTTTGTTGAAAAATGAAATAAGGGGGTGTGGGGGGGGGGGGGGTTCTTGTTACTGTAATTTGTTTCATTGACTTTAAAAAAAAAACTAAAAAAAATTAATTCCACTAACTGAACATTTTGAATCAACGGTGCATTCTCTAGCAAAACTGTCGCGTTCCCCTGAGATTCTTTGCGTTTTATAGAAAACTATTCTATAAATAGAATATAAATATAAATATATAAATAGTTTTCCCTCCCACCTCAAATAATTTCCATAACAAAAGTTTTGTGAGAGAATGCAAAAACATTTAAATCTCTCCCATCATGTCTGTTTAGTATTTAACTTAATGCACTGCATAGATACTAAAATGACTATCGTAGCACATTTAAAAGTGTAATAACTCAATTTGTATTTGACTGTGCACAGACATTCAGCTCAAAGGGCACATGTTGAATTTTTTAAAGGCGGATGTGGGTGCTAGCACAGACACACTCACGTACATGCACCACACTTTTTTGCACAGACTCAAGACTTGCTGACTGAGGTCTCTTAAGAAGAGAGATGAGAAATAGCATCAAAAACAGGACGTTACAAAGTAGCTCTAACAGGCAGTGGCATTCTAATGAAGGAAGTGGTTTATGCTTCTGTCAGAACATACCATTTCCCATCACGAGAGAGAAAGAAAGAGAGGCAAAGGAAGCAGAAAGAACGGCGAAGAAAAACCAAATAAATAAGCATTGATGTCCTGATTTCTTGCTCAGACCACATATGCAATACTGGGAAGTGTTGTGACAGAAAGATATGCTGACGCACTCCACAAAAACAGGGAAAGAGTTCAGAGAAAGTGATGCCGGATGCAAGAGACTGAGAGAAATACCGGCCCGAAATGCTTTCTTACCTGGATCACACAGCCCTTCTGAAAGGGCCCTCGGATTTCTCATTTTTCCGTCCTGTTTAAAACAAGACAATGTGTAATGGATGCGTCCAATTGAGTGACACTATGTTTTTAAAATGCACACCGAAGTACGGTTCTCCACTAGTTCAGATCACAATTAAGATTAGTTGATTAATGTGAACATGCAGCATACTACAAGTCTCCACAACAAAGCGTTTTAGGAACAATATATATAATACATATTATAACATAATTTACCATAGGCAGCCCATACATCAGGTGATCTGTCAGCATCACCATGGCTACAGATAACACAGTCACAAGCATCTGTAAACGATATACAACTATATCAGTGATCCACTCAGACACCATATCACACACTCTACATCAGTCACTGGAGAACATATGAACAAACACAATCAAACTTTCGAATAAAGAACTGTGATTTAGAAGTGCGATTAAAGTTTCACTTCAATCTTCACATGTTCATGACATTATGCAACAGCTGAGTTTGCCAAAAAAAAAAAAAGGGGGAGAAGTAGATTTGTGGATCTGATGAAAACAACAAATAAGCATGTGACTGGCTCCTACTTTAACTAAGTCATTTTAAATCGTAGTCAACATCTTAAAAGAAAGACCTGCACTTTAAAAAAAATTATAATAAGCAAGTGAAAAAAATAGCATAACAATAGCTGCAATATAAGTGAAAACAGTCGGTACCTCACAATTAGTCGAATCCAAAATGTCATCAAATGCTTTCAGTCTCTATTTCTGTGTCTTCTGCCAGTCTGTGTTCTGTTCTGATCATTTCATCTCATTGTGTGTGTGTGTGTGTGTGTGTATGTGTGTGTGTGTGCATGCGTGTGGGATTTTAATGCCTGAGGACATATTTATTTATTAATAATAACAGCTTATTTTCTACAAAAATCCAAAAGCTAATAGGAAATCCTATTGGGTTCCAGGTTGACAAAAGTTCAAATGCTTTCAGTCTCTATTTCTGTGTCTTCTGCCAGTCTGTGTTCTG